AGAACAAGGGTTAGTTCTTGCAAGAGGGAGGAACTGTCCTTGCAGATTTGTAGGCACTGTTTTGGCAATCTAGACTTTATCAAGAGGGGAGGAGAGGAACAGATAGGGGCTAAAGTTGTGTGCAAAAAGGATTAGGGAGGAATAACCACTGGGGACAAGGACATGAGAGAGTTACAGTGAAGGATGATCAGTTCTTCATGGTCTAATATCACTCCATACAAGGCATTGTGCTATGTGCTGCAGGTATAGTGATAAACAAGGTGGACTCAGTTCCTGATTTCATTAAATACAAAATTATACAATTACTTATTTTATTTCCATAGTACAAGGTGATAGGCTTGCATGTATCAGGGAATATCACATAATCTGGAAGAATCAGACAAAGCTTCCCTCAACAAGGGGCATTTTCATTGAAATTTGAGGGATGAGTAGGATTCTACCAGTTAAAGTGGCATTGGAGGGTAGGGTAGGCAAGGTCTGCATTATGATTTTTATGGGCCCTAGGTATTTCTGCCATCATGGGCCCCTTGCAACAGAAAAAATAAAATGCAAATTATATCCTGTAACTTATGTGGTATAAAGATGAATATGTTAATATTGTATATTAAAATGTTTTATTTTACCTAGAAGTCCTTTTCTTTCTTATTTTAAAATAAATTTAAACATTTTTGTAGACCCTAGGCATGGTCTTACTGTGCCTTTTGGATTAGTAGGCACAGGAGGTAAGGAAGTTTGGGCCAAGAACAATTTGGATAGAGAGAATGCCATATAGAGAAGTTTCTAGGGGCATAATTGCTCAGGGAATTAAAAGGCTAGAGCAGGGAGTGAAGGAGAGTATGGCATAAGGGAGGCTGGTGAGGCATGACATATTAAAATCATTAAATTCTTATAGAGGCCATTTTAAAATAGTAAATTAAATAACACGAATCTTAGCCAATGCTGATTTTCTTTTTTAAAGACAAAGTCTCACTCTATTGCTCAGGCTGGAATGCAGTGATGCAGCCGTGGCTCACTACAGCCTCAAACTCCTTGGCTCAAGCCATCCTCTTGCCTCAGCTTCCTGAATAGCTAGAATTGCAGGCACACACCACTATGCCCAGTTACGATTTTTTTTTTCAGAGACAGGGTCTCACTATGTTGTTCAGGCTTAATGTTGATGTTTGATATAATAGTGGAAGTTGGTGATTTCTGCCAAACTGTGGCAGATGTAAAACGTAGGTTAGGCACAATTCCATCTAAAGTTAGTATATACACTGAAATATTCACAGAGAAACTGATATAATGCCTGTGATTTGCTTCAGAATAATTCAGGAGGTATAAATGAACAAGATTAGCCATGAATTCTCAATTAATGAAGCCAGATTTGAGGTATATGGGGTTCATTTTATTATTCTGCCAACTCCTCTGTTTGACTTTCCATAATAATAGCTTAATATTTTTATTAATATTATTATTTCCATAATAATAGCTTTAAAAAAAAAATAAAGCCAAGGTACAAAGAAACATCAAAACCCAGAAGCCATGAAAAAAGATGATAGATTTGAGTTTATAAAAATAATAACCTTATATGACAAAAATAAAGCACACAAAACACTAAAAATAAAAAAAGACATAATTGTGAAATGCATAATTTATAGATTTAATATTCTTAATATGATTGTGATTCTTATCAATCTAGAAAAAATTCCAAGACACCCACAAGAAAAATTTGACATGGCTCATGCATGGGATATTCATAAAATAACTTAAAAATTCAAATAAAAATATAAAAAGATACTAATTCTTAGTAGTAATCACACAAATGAAAATTAAAATGCCATATACTTTTCTTGGATCAGATTTTGTAAAAAACAAAGTTAATGTCATATGTTGATAAACTATCGAGAAAGTGACATTATCATTCTCTCAAACACTTTGGTAGAAATGTAAATTGGTAGACCCTTTCCATTTATTTACGATTTTATCTACCAATTCCATTTTTAAGAATATATCATAAGGTAGCATTTTCAAAAGTGTGTAGTGGGATGTTGACCGATGTTATTTGAGTTTGTGTAAGTCTAAACTTAATTTTAAATGTAAATTTATTAAACATCATTTAAAAAATTTCCCATTTTAAAGTTTTTTCATTGCTTCTTTTTTTATTATTTTTTATTTTTTATTTTTTTTTAGAAAAAATAGAGTTTATTTTTCAGAGCAGTTTTAGTTTCATAGAACAATGGAGTGGAAAGTACAGAGACTCCCATTCTATTTTACCAGATAGTGATGGTTAAACAAGTTTGATTTCTACAAGGTATATGGTACTACTATACACTGGGACATACATCTCTAAGATGGTGAATAAGTCTTTCCTTATGTTATATGTCATGGAACCCTTTCATCAGAGAAAATATTTAGGTACTAAGGTTCTATAACACTTACTTTTAGAAATTATCTTAAAAAGCCATCAGACATGAGTACACATATGTACATGAGAGGATGTTCACTAAAGTCATGTTTACCACAGACAAAAATTGAGAAGCATTCTAAATATTTAATAAAAGGATGGTGATTACATGATTCATGTTATAACCTTTAACTGGAATTTAAGGTGGATGATATTTACTAACATAAAAATTGTTGCAGTAGGATGATATAATTCTATACCTTGAAAACACTAAAGACTCCATCAAAAGGCTCCTGCAAGTGATAAATGACTTCAGCAACATTTCAGTATATAAAAATCAATAGCATTTCTTTATATCAATAATGTTCAAGCTGAGAGTCAAATAAAGAACATAAACCGATTAACAATAGTCACACACACACACCATGCACAAACCTGGGAATATATCTAACCAAGGAGGTGAAAGATGTCTACAAGAAGAACTACAAAACACTGCCAGAAATCATAGACGATACAAACAAATGAAAAAACATTACATGCTCATGGATTGGAAGAATCAATATTGTTAAAAGGGCCAAACTGCCAAAAGTAATCTACAAATTAAATGCTATTGCTATCAAAATACCAATGTCATTTTTCACAGAACTGGAAAAAAAACTCTTCTAAAATTCATATGGAAACAATAAAGAGACTGAATAGCCAAAGCAAATCCTAAGCAAAAAGAACAAAGTTGGAAGAATCACAGTACCCAACTTCAAACTAAACCATAAGGGTTTTGTAACCAAAACAGCAAGTTACTGGTACAAAAACAGGTGCATAGACCAGTGGAACAGAATAGAGAACCCAGAAATAAAGCCATGCACCTACAGCCATCTAATCTTTGATGAAGTTGACAAAATTAAGCAGTGGGGTAAGGATACACTGTTCAATAAATGGTGATGGAACAGCTTGCTAGCCACATGCAGGAGAAATAAATTGGACCACTACCTTTCACCATATATAAAAATTAAGTAAAAATTGATTAAAGATTTAAATGTAAGAACTCAATATATAAGAATGGTAGAAGAAAACCCAGGAAACAATATTCTGGACATGGGCATTAGGAAAGAATTTATGACTAAGTTCTCAAAAGCAATTGCAACAAAAACAAAAATGGGCAATTGGGACCTAGTTAAACTAAATAGCTCTGCACACTGAAAGAAATTATCAATAGAGTAAATGGACAATCCACAGAATTGGTGAAAATATTTGCAAACTGTATAACCAACAATTGTCTTAGATCCAGAATCTATAAGGAACTTAAACAATTGAACAAGCAAAAAACTAACAGCCCAATTAAAAAATGGGCAAAATACATGAACAGACACTTTTCAAAAGAAGATATACAAGAGGCCAACAAACATATGAAAAAGTGTTCATCATCAGTAATTATCAGAAAAATGCAAATCAAAACCATAATGAGACACCTTCTCACACCAGTCAGAATGGCTATTTTTAAAAAGTCAAAAAACAACAGTTGTTGGTGAGGCTGTGGAGAAGAAGGAACACCTCTATACTGTTGGTGGGAATGTAAAGTAGTTCAGCCACTGTGGAAAGCAGTTTGGAGATTTCTTAAAGAACTTAAAGCAGAATTACCATTCAACTCAGTAATCACATTACTTGGTACATATCCAAAAGCAAACAAATTGTTCCACCAAAAAGACACATGCATTCACAATATTAAGCACTATCACTATTCTTAATAGTAAATTCATGGAATCTATGTAACTGCCCATTAATGGTGGATTGGATAAAGAAAATGTGGCACATATACACCATGGAGTATCACGCAGCCATAAAAAAAGAATGAACTCATGTTCTCTGCAGCAACATGGATGCAGCTGGAGGCCACTATCCTAAGTGAATTAACACAGGAAGGGAAAACCAAACATCACATGTTCTCACATATAAGTGGGAACTAAACATCAGGTACTCATGGCCATAAAGATAGCAACAATAGACAATACTACTAGAGGGGAAAGCGTGGAAGGGGAAGCAAGGGCTGAAAAACTGACTGCTAGGCACTATGCTCAGTACCTTGGTGAGGAGATCATTTATACCACAAACTTCAGCATCAAGCGATATACCCAGGTAACAAATCTGTATGTGTACCCCCTGAATCTAAGATAAAAGCTGAAAGAGAAAAAAAAATAAATAAAATTTTTAAAAAAGCTACAATAAACTGCTAAGTAAAAGAAGCAGGGTAGGGAAAGACCATTTAAGCCCTACGGTGTCTAGTAATTATTATTGTAACTATATAAATGCACATATTATTCATAATATAGATACATAAAATTAAATACAGAAAGCTATCACAAAACATTAAGAATAGTTACCTGAAGGTGGTAGGGTAATTATATTTTTTCTGTATTATCTTTTTTTAAAAAAACAGTAAACGTGTTAATTTTCCAATAGAAATATTTTTTAGAGGTGACATGTTTAAGCATCCTCACTTTGGAGAAATAAAGGATTTTAATCTATAGATGTCAGAGGTGTTCCATATTTATATAAAAATTAAGTCTGCAGACAAAAACTACAGTTGTATGAAGAATCTATGAAGAGAAACCATGATGCCTACCTTCTGGACAGAAGTGAAGAAAACATAACAAGCGTTGTGTGTGTCTCAGCAGCGTAATGGAGGCAGTTAATTTCCAGATGCTCTATGCCTTTACACGTCCCTATAGGGGAGTACCTCTTCTCTCTGAAAAGAAATAACATGAGTACACACATTTATTTAAAGCCTGGTTTTCAAAATCATTAATAGTATTGATGGCATTTTTTCACTTCCAAACATCAATGAGTCGTTGCCAAAGAACTAGAGAGGATCAAGGTATTAGTATCTTCATCTTTCAGAAATACCATGCTTAAGTAACAGAAATAATTAAAGAAAATGTTATATACTTTATTTGAATGTGTTTAATAATATAATCAGAAGAAATGTATTTAATAAATTAAAAATTATTGATAAAAATAGTAGTGTAATTTTGTATATCGACTATCTACCAGACACAGTGCTAAATCCTTTATATCTCATGTAATCCTCTCAACATCTTATTTATTTGATATTTATTCAACAATATTTACTAGGCATTTGCTCTATGCCAGGTAGTATGGGAAGCACTGGAGATATAACGGTGATCACTACCATGATACAAGATAGCTATTAACATTCCCACTTTAAAATGAGGTAATTGAGGCTCTGGGATTTGATATTAAATAGCCTAACTTTGCACTTATTCTTCCTATTATAGCCCAATCAAAAGGAGGTTGCCAGTCTTATCCCCACCACCACTAAAAACAAAAACCATAAACTCCAAACCTTTTAAGTTAAAATGGAGAAAATACCAAAACATATCCCGACAACTCATCTAAATGTAGTATAAAATACATACAAAATATCTATATATAACCTTTACAATTTGCAATATCACTTACTTTATCCTCACTCAATCTCATGATATAGGTGTTAGTATTACCATTTTGTAGATGAGAACACTGGCTTAGAAATGTTCAGCTTAAATCTGGATCTGCCTAATTCTAATGCTTAAAAACCTCAAATAGAGAACAATAATAATAAAAAAAAACCTTACATTAAAATGGAGAAAGCAGCAAAGAAGAAAAGCAACTCATTTAAGCAGCCTGATGTATGCACACACACAAAAAACACACACAGGATCACACACCTGTATGGATTGTGGTATTGACATTCAAACACCCATCACTATCTGGTAAAATAGTATTGGGGTGAGAGGAGGATGACAGGTGAAAGCAACTATCTAGGAAGGAGAAGCTGAATGAAAATCATCCTCAAATACAGATTGTAGCTCTACAGGCTGCTTACTTTCAAGTGGGGTCTCACAGAAAAACAGCAGGAAATATTACCACTCACTTGCTTATGACCTTAGGAAAGTTACTTAACTTCTCTGGGCCACAGTTTCCTATCTGTAAATGAGGATAATAACAGTATCTAACTAATAGAGGTGTTATAAAGATTAACATTCACAAATCACCTAAAGTATCATTTTCAATAGTAAATGCTGTATATATGTGTGTGTGTGTGTGGTTTAAAACAAATATCTGAGTGGGATTAATTGTATTAATAGATCTTCTTCATGGAGCATATTACTGGTAGTTATATTTTATGTCTGTTAACATCTCAAGTAATCCTCACTTTAACCCTATGAGGCAGATATTATTATCAGCTGGCTTTTAGCTTCACTTAAAGGCAGAAACTTGATTTTATCAACTTCCCCAATCATTAGAAACTCATCAACTTAAAAGGGAAATTTTTTTGTTGTTCCAAAATGATAGTGAATGAATTGGATAAAACACCATTTATCTGTATCAAATCTCTCTTAACTACCAAACCACTAAGAAATTACATAATTACGATAAAATTAAAACATGGAGAATTGAAGACTCAAATTAGACCTTCCATTAGCCATAGTAGTCTGTTTCTCTACTGTGTTAAAAATTTCCTCTTACATGATATGATACCTTGAGAAGGCACACCATCACCAATGTGGTATTTTTGCCAACAATATTTAATCTAGATTTAACAATAAAAAAATTTCAGAAACAGCTAAATTAAAGTGACATCTTGCAAACAACTGGCCCAGGCTAATCAAAAATGCCAGTGAGATTAGAGCCCAAAGGCTAGAACTTTATGTCCCACCAGGGATGGGCAAGTAATTTGTTTACCTTCTGGCATGAAGGTATTGGGAAGCTTCACAGAGTTTTGAACTTTCAATTGAGAGCCCTGGCTTGTCCAAAAGACTGTTAGTTTATGGAAGATATTAGAGTTTTTAGGCAGAATGGAAGGAGTTGCTGTGAATAAACAACAAGTAAATAAAGGATTCTGAAGGGAGAGAGGTATCCAAATCAGTGTTTAGATGTGGTGAGTAGAATTGATACAGAGAAACGAGGGAAGGAGAAAAAAAAATCTGAACCCTGGGAATTATACAGCTCCTGGGAAATACACAGCAGGTATGGTTATGCACAAGATGATCTGCTGATATGAGGAGGAAATAACAGTACTTATCTGTAATATTCATATAGATTAACACTAATACCTTTAAATATATTTTTACTGAGGATAGACAATAAATTTTAAAACTTATTTATTTTTTTGTATACAGTATGTGACCAAAATGTTTGGTGATCACTGTTCTCAGGAACAAAAGAAAGACTTTTAGGCGCTGGCATGTACTAGGACATTTGTCCTTGCTCTTAGGGGTGAAGAAGACCGTGCAGTGCTTGGACAGTCTTCTGTGGAGGGGTCAGAATGGACTGTGTGTTGTGCTGTTGTTAATCGGGAGGTATGATGTGTTCTGAAGCACATGTGAAAATGAGATGAGCTTATTGAGATTCATCAAACTCTGCTCCATGCTCTTGCCTTTTTATACAGAAATAAATGATACTTTGAGAAGAAATGTGGAAAACATACTCAGAGATGATGAAAATTCCTGGGTAAGAAACTTGAAGGACCTGGGGGCAAAGGGGGGTCACTCACTTTGGGGACTTGGGGGCCACTCACTTTGGCCCATGTAAGTAAAGAGAGCTGGGAAAGGGAAAGGAACAGCTTACAATGTCCTTTTTGTGAAAAAAGTGAGATTTTTCTAGATCACATATTTAAGACGGTAGTGAGGAATGTGTTTCATCCAGAGGAAGACATGGCAGAAAAGGGGATGGAAGCACCTCTGCCTTCAGAATGCTATGTATGTCCAGTGCCAAGAGTGAGCTTGAGATTATAGCACAGTCATCACAGAGACCTGATAGGCACGAGGTGTCTGTCCTCCTTCACACTGCGGCATCTATATCCAACCTGTGACTGTCTCCTGTCCCCATTATCCCCAACTTTAGGTCCTCTCTATGTTGTCATGAGTGCCTGCTCAAAAGTCCTCACCGGGTCCTATCTGTGGAATTCAGCCCATTGGCATGGTTTGGTCAGCCCAAATTTGAACATCTTTAGGCAGAACTCATACAATTCAGTTTGCCACAGGTCTGTCATTTCACATCATATGTTTGTGTTTGCTTTCTGCCTATCCCTTAAAGCTTTGAATTCTCAAACACAGGATGAAGTCCAGATTCACTGGCCCAGCACTAAAGGCCTGCTCCTGTGTGTTTCTTCTGACTTAAGTTTCATCGTAATATCCTCTCAGGTGACTGCAGTTTTCTAAACTGTGTGCTTTTCAAAAACATAAAAAGTAATAGATGTATTTTGCTCACATGATGATCTCTGCTTTCTCTTTTTTGTCTGCTTATCTTTCAAGTTAGCTGAAATGTCATTTCCCCACTGACATGTCTTTCCTGAATTTTTGAGAGAGGAGAGATATCTTCCCCTTTTGTGCTCATTCTTCACTTTATACGGCCTTTATTGTAGTATTTATAACATTTTACTGATTATTATGTACAAATACCTAGAACATAACACCATGCCTGCTATTTCATAGGTGGCCAATAAATGATTTTGAGTGAGTTAACAAAAATGTCAACATCATGACACAAAAGGCTGGATTTTTTTTTTTTAAGATAAAAGGAGATTAAGCAGATATAACAACTAATTGCAATGTATGAACCTTGGCTAGACCTTAGATCAGGAGGAAAAAGACAGCTGTAATTAATGGACAACTGGGAAATTTTAAATATTGATTTAAAGACTCTATTAAAAACACATTTAAAACTATCTTAGGTAGTTTATTTCTTTACATAAAATTATTCATTCATGCATTTGTAATCATAATATATTAAAATACCTATTCAGTGTGATAAGTCTGCAGATAAAAATTCTTGCAAGTAACAGAACCTAAAATACAGCCTTGGCTTGGCCAAGAGGGTCAGGTGAAGGGTAGTAAGGACCCTTCTATCTCAGTCTGGCAAGTTAGCAAAATAACTAAAGTATCATCTGTTACATTTTGGGACTCAGACCATCTGCCTACTGAAGTATTTTCCCTTCTAATGGAAGGGAAAAATTCAGACTGTTGGAGCAGGTTGGCTGCTTTATGCAGCCTTCAGTAAAGTCCTACAAGAAAGAATGGAAGGTCAGGAAGCAGTGAAGGAAGAAAAAGATGTCTTTGCCAATAAAGCTACTTTTTATCTGTGGCTGAGAATAGGAGATCTGGACATTCGTAAGAGTATAGAAGCCAAATTACAAATGCTTTATAATTATCTTGTATCTATTTTTTGAATAGGTTATTCACATGACATAGAAATGGAAAGATATAAAAAGGGAGTAAAAACATCTCTCTCCTAGTCTTGTCCCCTAGCCATCTGTTTTTTTCACTCCCTAGAGGCAACCCCCATTAGCACTTTCATATGTCCTTCCAGAGATGTTCAATGCATTGCCATACTACACATACATTTCCACAAATGACGCAGGTTATGCATACTGTTCTATACCTTGCTTTTTTCATGTAACATATCTCATCAACTGATTGTATCAGTAAATGCAAAGCTGCCTTATCATTTTAGGAGCATCATTGTATAAAATTTACATGATAAAAACCATAGAGTAGACAAGAATGCAAGAGGATATAACCGTATTCTTTTATATAAAGACTGTACAACTAAAAACATAGAGTACACAAGAATGCAAGAGAATATAATAGATGTTTTCCCATACAAACAAATAAGGAAGGCACTGGCTACTGGGCAGGAAAGAGTTTGGACGGGCTGTGATTCAGGTATCTGAGTATTGAGTAT